AAGTGGTCATTTTTTACGGAGTATGGTTTCTGTATGCGGCAGAAAGGATGTCCTTTCGAAAGCCGGCATCCCGAGGTAACTGAATTATTATAGACTTTTTGCATGATAATTACTCTCAAACGCGCATGCCACACGCACGATATGGCTCTCCGAACGTACACGTCAGGACTTCACACAAACACAGGAGGAATGATCGAACTAATAAGTGTTGCCCACGGCAGTTACTACTAGGTAGGATGTTCATTTCGTGCAATTCTATTTCAGATGTTTTAACAGGTAACGCAGTCAGGTGATTAGAAACTGCAAAACGCGTATTATAAAGTACTTAAAAAGTTGTCATATTTAGTTTGCGACATTTTGTTTAATTGCTTACTTTAATACTTTTATTGTAGAGAGTTTGCTTAAAGAAGCTTTTGGAAAGCCGTTTTTTACTTGAAGAAGGTTGTAGTGAATACAGTCCTTCCCGAATGACATGTAAGGAATGGTCTGAACGCTTTACAAGTTATGGTTTTGACAGAGAAATTAAGGGGCGCTCGTAACATGCGGACAAGGGATTCTGATTTCGCAGGAACTGACAGAAAGGCAGCAATAAAAGTTTTGAAACCACATGTAACATAGTGCTTATCAAACCCTCCATTTCGCATCGAATCGTGACTTATGATGAAAAAACACTAAACAACGCCTGAACAACCTATATTTCGACCACCGATTTCGACGACCTCCCTCGGGTGCTCCACAGTAGGGTGAGGGCAGGGCCAGTGACTTGCGGAGCATCTACCGCACTCTCCCCTCTCCCACTTGGGCCCGGTGTCAAGACCCAGTCAAGAAGACCGGGCGCGGAGGGGGCCGCAGGGGGCAGACACGGTGTAAACCCAAATGTAGACGTGTTACAACACCTCTAGGTCGACAACAACACTTGGCCAGGATTTTAGCAACAAGAAATATATGGCGGGGGGGGGGGTTCAGGTCCCAACTGGCGCATCGCGAACCAACAAATGGACCTGCCATCACATCCCGAACGTATGCATTTTTGCGGGCACGCACTCCCGGTAACACCTGTGGGCGTCCGGTGTAGCCTCCCGTGTTGGTCCAGCCCATCTACTGCGTGACCTGGCCAGCCATTAACGCCAGCACCAACGAAGAACATTAATGAAAGCAAAGTTGTGCTGGTGTAGCCACAAAGGAATGGTGTTTTTTGAGCTGCTGAAGCCACTTGAAACTAATACTGTTGCATGATACCGACATCCGTTTATCAATTGTAGTCCAGCACTGAACGTAAAAATGTCAGGGTATGAGGGAGAAGATGATTCCTCAGCGTTACAATGTTTGGCCCCAGGTTGCACAAACGAAATTCTGGAAACACTTCGCAGGGAAGTCCCACCGCACTCGTCGTATTTACCAAACGTTGCTCCATTAGATTATCGAGTGTTTTGCTCGGTGCAACCTGGCCTTGATGAGTCAAAAACTGCCTCCAAAAGAGCAACAGACTTTCTACCGCGGAAACCATTTACTACCCCAATGGTCGGAAAACGCCACAGCTGCCAACGGACAGTATCTAGCTTAAAACGCTATATTTTGCTACATGTAAATAAATCTTCTTATCGCCCAAGAGTAGTCACGAGTTAATTCACACTAAATAATTACAAGCCGAGAGCCGACGGTTACTTATTATTATTATTATTATTATTACCTGATTAACTAGTTAAATAGACGAAGTGAATTTTTGCACAAACAGTTCATTTGTCTGATAGTTCTGTCCGAGAATTCGTAAAAATTTCGGATCTGGTCAGGTGAAATGAATTAGTTGTAAGCAAGCCCACATTAGTGCTGCATGCCAGGCGGATTTCTCCTACTTACAAACTAGGATGTATAGAGAGCGCCCCCCAATCGATTGACCTGGGTCTTTTCTCCAGTGAACAGAAACCCGCCTATGTTTCCGATAGACCCATTCGTTTCCTGTTCCTGTTCCTTCTCCTCCTCTTCCTTTTCCCCTCCCCCCTATTATCATTCTCCTCCTCTCCATACTGTGCTGTCCCTCCTTTATCTCAGTGTGTAGAAATACCCGGAAGTTGATGGTGGCCACAGGTTCACATTATTTGAGGGGAGAGCTCATCGCAGACCATGGCTGGAGCCCCTTCAGTATTGACCGTAAAATACACCTCTACGAGGCAATCCTCACTGTTTACTTATTTACCCATTTGTTTTCTTGTGGCAACAGTGTGCAATTAATTATACCATGTTCCAGCGTAAAGGGGTTCGGTCGACGAAACGCACATTATTACTATGTTAGTATAATGCGTGTGTACTAGAAATCAGCTATACTTATCTGACTCAATTATGAAAAACTTAACGGCTTCTTTGGGGTTCATACTTATGACAACAAGCCTTCGATATTGCACCTGAAAAATATTTAGTCTTCAGGTGCGAAACCCGTTTACAGTTCCTCAGTTATTTCAAAACTGGCTCGATTTTGTGATTCGTCCAATCATGCCCGACATCGATCGCACCATCAACATTCCTAAAAGGCGAGCCTCTATCAGGAGTACAAGTAGGTTTTACTGTTCCGCTGATGCGGCGGTAACCTGATAAGAAAGAACAGGAAAAGAGAACACCAATAACTGCCGCACTCGGTGGCGATCGGATATGTGGCCAAACTTAGTCACTACTTCTACAAAATATCGTACGTCATTTGGACAAGCTTAATTTAACCTTCCTACATTCCTTTAACTAATTTCCCGTCACGTCTACCCCAGGCGTTTCCGTTAAAGTAAACGTTCGACTTAGGCTCAGGGTTAGAGGGTTATTGGGTAAGTTTTTTAACCTAGGACTAGAGTTAGAGGTGGGGGTTTGGATATCAGATTTGGCAAACTCAATTATACCCTCAGTATCGGTAATTTCGACAGCCAGATTTAACGATACATATATTCTTCGCACTTTCTCCTTCTGTGTGATTGGTCATCACGGACTGGGATCAGTTCGCCCGAAACGTCTGAGCATACTTCAAACAGTCCCGCCTTGTTACCCATAGGTCGAGCGTTATTCGCGCACAGTTGATGCGTAGTTCCAGTTGTGAATGACTCCACCAGATCAGGGCGTAAACGATCCGCGCGCGAGCGCAGTACAAATGACTCAGAGCAGTGCTTGGTGTTTACCAAGAAGGCGTCATTAGACAGACTAACTGTTCTCTCGCTGTCAGTCAGCAGCTAGAGTGTTTTTTGTCAACTTTGCCCTCTCTCCCTTGAATGCCACGATCTCAAAATGCATGTTAGCACCGGCTCCACTAAGGCCGTGTTGCGAAGTGTGGGTTTTCATTGTGGCTGCCTTTGAAACGAGTCAATGGCGACGACAATGCGGAAAGCCGCCAAAAAGGTTTACCAGACCGCAGGCAGGTGCTCCAAGGTTCAGTCATATTTCTAAAAAAAGTAGTGGTTAGAGGCGTGGACTTCTAACTAACAGATCGCGAGTTCGAGCCTCGAGTGTTCCAGGCTTCGGGGTTGGGTATGACTGGCTGACGACGGCTAATATGCCAGAAATGTCCATTCCGGTCTCCATTGTCTTTGTCGGTGATACCATACTGCCTATATCATGCGCCGTTGTGCGGCGGTTGGTTGGGCTCGAGAGAGAGCCCTTAAGGCACAACGGAACGAGTGAGTTCCGTAAGAACATTTGGTGAGCGCTCCCTACCGAAAAAAAACCGTCTCCACTTACTCATCGGTCACGCGGTCCTTTGTTCTGTGAAGAATGTGAAAGCAGTCGATGGAAAGGGTTGTGAAACGCTGCTATCGTTTCCACTCGGTCATGGCCCACTTACCAATCTCGTCTCAACATGGGCTGGAAAGGAATTAGACCAAGATTCCTCTGGTGCCCTGGTCCAAACATCTCTCACTCACTATACAACAATGACTTCCTATCTAAAAGGCGTATACGTTGGCAAATTTGTCATAACATTAATGAAAAATTTTTTAAACTGAGTGTCACCCTGACTTAATATCTACCCCTAAATGTCTTGAAAACGACCACTGCTAAACGAACACTGCAGAAACAAAGTATATCAGTAATGTGTCGGCTGTTCTTAAGCATCGATCTTCCAAAAGCCTGCAATGGTATGGGCAATGGGTAAGGGAGGTTCAAAACTTGGCTATTTCAGTTGGCGCCCTGTTTATTTAGTACGTGAATGCTCAAACACTGATATGTAGACAGGGCGTTGAATAAAATGTTATTTGTGTTCTCATTGAAATATCCGGATTACTTTAGCTGTCTAGCTGACAGTTCTCCGATTTCCTGCGTATGAGTTCTACAGGCCACAGAATTATATATTTCGCCTCTCGTCTCCGACGGAAAAATCGCCAATTCTGAAGCGTTGGGTCGAAAACTCCAGAAAAACCCTCAACCATTCATTTACGATCTTCGAAGTCGTCCTCAACCGGCTTTCCCAGACGGAAATGAAGAACAACCTGAACTTCTAGCCTTCCATCCCAGAAACCATCAGAAAGGGGCAAACATTCTTCACTTGAAAAACAGCGGGATCCGACGCGATCGCGGTCGATGAGCATAAGCAGGGCGGCTCCGGCTGATGGACAAATGTACCACGATATTTCAGGTGATGTGGCACCAAGGAGTAGTCCCCCAGAATTTATAGGACAGGACTATCGTCTATTTCTACAAACGGAATGGGAACCAGCAAGTCATAGAGGAGTCTCGCTGCTCAACATGACCGGAAAGATCAGTCCTCGCATCCTCCTCAACCGTTTCAACGACCGTCTGAACATGGGCTTCTCTCTGGAAGCCAGTGTAGTTTCCGAAGATACCTTAGAATCAGCAACATGATCAACGCCACCCGGAAACTTCAAGGCAAGTGTCAAGAAATGAATATCAACCATTTCGTAGACCTGACGAGGGCCTTCAACAGGGTGAGTTGTGATGAATTTTGAAAAATCGTACAGAAATTCGACTGTCCTAAACGATTCACGCCCGTGGCGCGTCAGCTCCACGCTGGGGTGATGACGCACGTCACAGACAACAGGGCATTTTCAGGAGCATTATTCGCATCGGTCAACGGAGCGAAACAGGGCTGTGAACTTGCTCCCACCCTGTCCGCTGCCATTCTGCTGGACGCCTATCGTGACGAGCGCTCTGGGATCAGCATCGGTTACGGGAACGACGTCCAGGTTCTCAACACTCGACGGAGGCAGGCATCCACGCAGACTTTGAGGAAGACTGTGCATGAACTCCTCGTCACGGTCGTCTATGAATCCAATGCCCCGACGGAGGCAACCATGGAAAGGAGCATGAATCTCTTCGCCTCCGACCGAACCAACTACGGGCTGGCTATCAACACGGACAAAACGATGGTCATGGGCCAGCCCTCGCCCGATACTTCACACAACGACCCTCGATGGAGACGAATACACGAGTCCCAGGAAGCGGTTCGCAGAAAGAAGATGCGACGGTCGGACGTTTTAGATTCTTACTCGAACCCATCATCTGAGACAGTCTCTGGAAAGTGCAGTGGAGGCACAATGAGCATAGTCATTATACGACGCAGTTGTCGGACGACCACATGCCTACAGCAGCATTTGTATTCGTTTCTGGAGGTTGCATATGATGCGACGGTTGGTTTGCAGTCCGTACCCGAGTCGTTAATTGTCGTGATTCATTCCCGTTATTGATTTTTGGCGTGACGACCGCTCAGCCATTTGGTTGGCTGTCACCAGAGCTGTTCGTGGCCCGTGCCCTCACCGCGTGGTTCAGGCGAAATCGCAGCACTGAATACGCATGCGGGAGGCCATTGCGCTTGTTAATTGACTGCGAACCATTACCCAAGCAGCCCGCGGCTCATGCGGTTGTCAACACTTGCGGGAATTTCGACCTTGTCCAACCTGAAGGTGTGGCCTGGTCCCATCAAATAAGCTGCAACCTGGGGGCTAGCCTCGTTCCTCTTCATTGCTTTATATGTTCAGTCATTCGTATTCAGAGTAACCCGCCAGCTGACGATGATGGTTACCTCCGGTCTGTGTACAACTTCAACTCTGAGTGACGTGAGAAGGCGACTGACAGCTTCTGAGATGTTTTTCACGCGGGTAAGCGTTCACCAAACTTTCGGGCCGGTTGAATTTTGTCTCTCTTCGCACTTAATCATGCACTGGCTAACGAAGTTGTGCGGGTGACTATTCGCTCTCAGTACCCGTTGACGGTATTCGGGTTCGGCAACTTTGTCTTCTGGTCTACTGCAATGCGTCTCCACATGCCGATATAGCGCCCTTACGTAACCGCGTTTGTGGACTGGTTTGCTGGTTTATGCTGAAGCTCAGTACTTGCGCCGTATTTGTCGCTTTTCTGAACGCTTTAGATTTAGGTCACCACAATCTTTGCGGCAGACGGGGGCATCAAGGAGGGATAGCTGGTTGTTCTCCTCCCCCTTCATGGTGCATTTTATATCCAGGAGGACAGAGTTGATATTTACTCCAAATTGCCAACACCTGATCCCGTTCGATGACAACCAGGGTGTCATCTACATTTCGAGGCCAGAATTTGGTCTGTGGCGCCGGAAGACCAGAGACTCCAGCCGTCGTAGGACCGCCTAAGCTATGAGTCCAGAGATCGGCGGACGCAGTGACGTGCCGTTCACCGGCTCGTAGATGGTTCTGCATAACGTGAAGTACATCTTGAGACTGAGCTGCAGGACTTGGAGGTCGACGGCATCCATCCCCAAAGATTAAATAAAATCGCTTACTTAGGCCGATATCCTTGAATGAACGGAAATTCATAGCATCTACACCATGCTGAGGCAAATTACATTGCGATGGAGCGGTCTCTTCTCGAGAATGCATTATGAACACCTATGCAAGCTACTATTCTACGGAGCTGTTGCTAGGCGGCCAAAAAGTCGCTACATGGACACCCTAAAAACATCTCTCAAGCAGCTATAAATCAAGCCAGAGACCTGGTACGACCTCGTCCAGGGCCGACAGGCTTGGATAGGAGCTGCGGAGGTAGGAGTAGCAACCTCCGAAGCCAACCAGGTCGCCGTTGTCTAGTGACACACGTCTCCTACACACATGGCCATCAGCCAACTCCCTCCAACATGCTCACGCTGACAACGGACATTCAGTGCACAGATTGTCCTCGTCGGATATCTCCGGATTCAATGCAACAATAACCCGACATCCCCATCTGCCGCCTCCGCGAACATCCGTTTCACTTCTGTGACAAGTCGCACGATGTCCATTACAGCAATCACCACCATCGCCACCGGTGGCCACACTCCTGATGCCCCGACGTCTTAAGTAACTTCGTCGTCGTCGTCGACTACCTCGTCTTTGGCGTCCGGGACAATCTCCACGACGAGGAACACCAGCTCTCCAACACCCACCACCGACAAGAACACTTCCGACGCTCCGTCAGCCATCACACTCGCCACCGACAATGTGGACTCAAACAGAGTCCGTCTTCAATGAGATCGCAAATTCACATCACACATCGTCCTGGTCTGCCAGTTGCAAACCTGTGTCTGGAACACCAACATACACATGTAACACCCGCCCCAACCGCCCACATTACTCTGGCACATTTGGTTGTCGCGCAAGCCTTCTCGGTAACATGAGAATTCGGTAAAATATGGTTATGGAACCCCACCTGATGGGCACAATACTGTTGGGGTTAAAATTAGGGGTTAGGGTTAGGAACTTTGGTTAGTGTTAGGGGTTAGGGCAACTATTTCTCAACAACTCAAAGTACAACCGTGCATTCCAAATAGCTTTTCGTTTGCATAAAACTATTTGACCTTTTCGCTTGTACGTTCCCCGGCCTACCTGTAAAGTCCCCTATAACCGCCGGCCCCTTATTACAGGTGGCTGAAGTAAGTTTACTTAAGGTGGGGCTAAATAACCCCATCTGACCCAGAAGTCATGAGAACCTGAAGTGAAACACCACTTCACCAACATAATCTCCACACCAGCATAAAAAACCCGCGTCTCATCACCTATCACAATCACGGAACCAGCTCCTCTCACGCACATGGAAACCATGCTCTTTGGCTCCTTCTCTATGCGGTCCCTTTGCTGGTCTAGCACATGTTTTCCGAGCAGTCAACTTCTTTGTGGAAAGTCCTGGTGCGTCGTGTGTGAGGCACGTGTAGACGGGATACTCAGCTTTCGCTGCGCCCTCCCTCAACCTCAGTTGATAAAACGGCTCGGACCATCGACTGGTGTAAGGGAGAGGAGTGAAAGTGCGAGGTCGGCTCTCAGAGCATATTTTTCACTAGAATCTGACGTTCTTCAGACTACCACGGTGGTTAAAATCCGTGGTTTGGAAGGTAGCCAAATAACGATTCAACTCAGACCTCGCGTTCGAGCCGGTGTATGCCTGTGTGCAGTGGCCGACCGATGGACTGAGAGTCAAATCCAAATGGCTCATTCTTAATGTGAACTCCATAGCACTTTCACGCACCAGCCCACCCCTTTGTACCGAATCCTTGTGTGCCATGCGCGCTCTCTCAGCCACTGCGCTCAATCCCAGCATCAGCTGACTGACTGGGACGAATAGTAGACTGGTATCTGGGAGTGGGAAGAGGGAGAGAGAGAGTGAGGTCTGCGGTTTCAGCGCATATTCCTCAATATAAACAACCGGCAGCCCCCGAACCTACCACAGTGAGCTAGAACTCGTGGCCTGAAAGTCCGCCAATTGACTGGATAATGCATTCCTCCCCTCTGGACGGAGAATCAGACTGCAATTGCTCCTTATTTTGGCCTTTATGGCACTGAAGTGTGATGCGAACTGGGTTTCTTTTTCTTCTTGTTGTGTGAAATCCTGGTTCTTTGTATGCGGACCAGGAGGTGTGATGGGACACCAAGACGCAGGCTCTCGCCGCGCCATTCACCTGAATCTGACCCTGCTTCTGATCTCCTTGACTCTGCCTAGGCGCCCAACTCAACTGGGTGAGGATGAGAGAGTCCGGTAGATGCAGCGTAAGTCTGCTATCAATATAAACTAAATCACACATTAGCCGCCATTCCTGCCCCTACCCTGCTATGGGGCACACGGTGGACACGTCAGAAATGACGAACGGACTGTCAATGCTCACCGACCGCGCTAAGGGACGCACTCCTGTCTAACAGTCAGATCTCGAGCTCCACCGGCAGCCGCTCAGAGGCCAATATTATAGAGCATTGGACTCCTAACCAACAGGTCGTGATTTTGTGTCTCAGGGGTTACAAAACAGGGGACAGGCTATGACTGACTGATGACGGCAACTAGGCCAGAAACGGTCATTTTGGCTTCTCCCATGCCTGTTGGTGATGTTATTCGGTCGAAATGTCACTTTGTGAGATCGAATCTTCGTAGCCCTTAGACATAACTGTAACTGAAAAACCTAACCGTAATACTCAAACCTAATCGTACGCTCAAACCCTAACTGTAACCCGAAAACCTAAGCCTAAAAGCATAACACTAACCCGAAAATCGGAAACCATTAACCGGTACCCTAATTCTAACCCCATACGTAAACCGGAAGCCAAAAGGGTCAGATGTGATTATGGGACCTCACAAAATAGTCCCAGTAAACAGCCCCCCCGCAGTCACCTGTAATACGGGCCTGGCTACCAACTGCGATCTAGCCATTCGTTGTCCTTCAAGATGTTCCTGTCTTCTTTTCCATATGCCCCACGGTTTGACGAAATGTATGGCCGTAGTCGACACAAAGTGCAGGTCTCATGGATAGAATGGTAGAGCAACCACTTTTTGTTTTTTAAAAGATGCATGGGATGATTCATAGAGCCCCTGTAGACGCAGGGTGTTCGACGCAATTTGGCGCTCGCAAAGGACTTCATTAAAACTTTTTTAGAACTGTTTTTCAAATAGTACAGACGCCCACGTGTCGTACGTCAGGAGAAAGTGAACGGTTGTCTTTGAGACGTTCTGCCAAATGAAGCAGGACATACGAGTTGAGGGGGTTAAGATATTCTGCCGTCCGTCGGTCGTCAAAAGGATAGTACTGCTTGTATCAGCACATTAGCCAGAATGAACAACATTTCACTAATAAGAATCTCGAAACACTGTTTTAACGAAATAAATATTTGGGTAAGCTGTTGTCATGTAACCGCACTTGATGGACACAATACTTTTAGGGGCTAGCGTTTAGGTTAGGGTTAGGGGGGATTAGGCTAAGGATATAGAGTTAGGGGTTGGGTCTAAGTGTTAAGGTTAGAGTTTAGGGCAACTATTACTTAAGCACTTTAAGTATAACTGCGCATCTCCAATATATTTGGGAAAGGCAAGGGCGACGAAATGAGCAGAATTTAATGACGTTATAAACGCGGAAAATAAGGTGCCTGGAAGTTCGATTATGAATTACCTGGTGGCCAACCCAACGACTGCATTTAACGTCCTACTTTGGGTGACGAGTGGGCGTCTCCTGGGTTTTTCAGAAGCCGCGGAAATACGGGGGCGAAAACCAGACCTAGGTAGGCAGTCGGATCGCGTGATCAACCTCCCACTGCCATGGAAAGAGTCGATGACGGAAATAGGTCCCCAACTCGCTTCCGTCGCCCCATTACTTCCTCCACCTCACTGACTTATCACCCCCTACTATGCAGTCGTAATCACATCTGAGTTTTAGATGTAACCGGAAACCGTTAACCCCCCCTCCCTTCTTACCGTGCTCACCCTGTAG